AGGGAAAGAAAGGAGGTAGAGAGGTAGGGGTAGGGAAGGAGTGGGTTTTGGGGGAGCAGAGAGCACTGCGGAATGCAGGGGAGCGGGCAGAGACGAACAGAGGATCGACAGTGAGCATCCGGGTGAGCCCCAAAGGAGATCAGCCGTATCTCCCGGCACACGCTCTGGCGGTTATTCCAAAGCTGTCCTGTCTGCATGCTCCGTTGAGCCAGGCGCATTCCCCCTACTCCTCTGCCTTGTGCTGGGTGTTTGCTGGCCCACAACCCCCGACCCTGGAAAACTTCCAGTGAGGGAGATCACACAAACAAGCTGCAACCCCCAAGCTAGACCCACTCCACGTGCCCATCTCTTCCGGACCCGGGAAATGATCTATAACCAAGACAAGCAGAGAGTATTTAAATCATCTGGACTCAAGTTCGTTCAGCAGCTGCACTTGCTGGATCTAAGTGCAGCAGCTCTGGGCTCACACGTCCAGACGCCTCCAGGAGGGCTGGCGGGAAGGAGGAGTGGCTTCCAATGGATTCAAAGACTCAGTTCTGCGTCCTAAACCAGCGAGCAGAGCAGGTGGGCGTTGGCTATGAGAGAGCCCCAGAGGGAGTACCACGGGGCCCAGAGTTCCAGATAAAGTGGTCTCCCACACTCGCCTTTGGAGAACAGCCCCCTTTGTAGATGAGAACTGAGGCTAGGAGCAGAGAAGGCCCTGGGGAGGCGAGGGGTCCGGGACTCCCTTGGAGCCCATTCTCCAAAAGTGGTGCCTTTTCAGAGATTTACAAAGGGTGACACAACAGGAAAGGAAGCACAAGGAAAACAGGACCAAGAGTAACAGAGAAAGAGTGGGCACATTCTATGAGAGCTCACACCCTCATCAACCTGTAGCAAAAGCCCGGCCCCCCTTCTCTCCACAGCCCCCCACCCCTCATTTACCCAGATGGCACCTCCTCCCAGCTCACTTCTCTGCTGCGGGAACCTGGCTGCTCTGGGTCAGGAGGTCCACCTGACTAAGCCCTGCCTTCCCCTCCCCTCCAGGTCTGCTGGCGGAAAAGGACAGTAATTACTGTCTCTGCAGGACACCCTGCAACCTGACCCGCTACAACAAAGAGCTCTCCATGGTGAAGATCCCCAGCAAGACGTCAGCCAAGTACCTCGAGAAGAAATTTAACAAATCAGAAAAATATATCTCGTACGTTAAGTGGGCATGGTGGATGGAGGTGGGGGAGGATGGACTAGGAAAAAATGGGGGGCGGTCGAGGGCAAGGTAAGCAATTAATTCTATTTGGCAGACATTAATTGAGCACCTGCCGTTCGCCACGTTCTGTGCTCAGACTCAGAATATGAAGACAAAGCAGATTAAGATGCAGGCCCAGCCTTTAAGGAGCTTATAGTCTGGTGGAGAGACAAGTACAAAACTGAAAGCTATATAGGCTGACGCAGGTAATAAGAGAAGTGGCTGGCCACACCTTGCGTAGGGACGCTGTCAAGGAAAGCTTCAGAGATGTTTTTCTTTTTGCATTTTTTTATTAGTTATCCATTTTATACATATTAGTGTATATATGTCAATGCAGAGATGTTTTTACAGGATGTAGAGGAGTTTTCCAGGAAGGTTTTGCACGTTCTGTTCCCTCTGCCTGGAATGCTTTTCCTCTCGCTCTTCACCTAGCCGGTTGCTCATTGTGCAGGTCTCCATTTAAACGTCATCTCTTTGGACGACTAAATTAGTCCCCTCCTGTCATGTTTCTCTGGAAGCACTCTGGTGTTTTCCTTTATAACACACACCACCGTGTGTAATTCTATATTCACGTGTGTGTTTCCTGAAATTAACTTGTCCGCTTCACGAAAGTGAAGCTCCTTGAGGACGGGAACTTTCTTGTTTTGTTCTCGGCTGTGGAGTGTCTGGCACAGAGTTGATGCTCAAAAATATATATATATCTTTTAACAGAATAAGTGAAAGAAAGACACAGGAGCAGAGGGTGTCCCAGGCAGAGGCTCAGCAGGCAAAATCAGTGAAGGGCAGACAAGATTAGGGGAAGGGGAGGCTGCGGGAGGTGACTGTGTCCAAGGTAAAAGGTGACTGTGTCCTGCAGGCTGAGCTGGGCGGGGGTGGGACGCAGAGAGTGGACTTATTCTAAGAGGACAGGCAGCCATAGAAGAACTTCCACCAGGCGAGTGACAGGCTCACATTTGCCGTTTAGGTAGAACCTTCTGGAAATGTTCTTTATCTGTGATGTCCTACATGATGGTCACTGGTCACATGTGGCTACTGAGCATTTTAAATGTAGCCTGAGTGATGGAGGAACTGGATGCTAATTTTATGTCACGTGGATTAGTTTAGCGGTTTTAGGAAGACCCTTCAGGTGGCAGATAGAGGACGGACCGGAAGCCAGGTGGGCGGAAGGGAGCCAGGTGGGAAGCATTTGCCGTAAACCAGGCAAGAGAGGGTGACACTGTGAATGGCACCTGAGCGAGCCCTGCGTGGAGAGGGCTCCTCTCCCCCAGCCTCTCCCTCCTGCCCACACCATCACCAGACCTCATCCTGGGACGGCTTTTGCTCCGTGGGTTGAGGACAAGGGACACAGGGCATTGTGAGCCACGTCGTGGAAGGAGGCAGGGAATTTTGTAGGAGGTGCCAGGCACCGCTGTCGCAGACATTGTGCCGGCCGTAATGACTTCTCCTGCCTAGATGTGTCTCATGCACACATCTGCCCAAAAGAGCAAAAGGGAACCGGCGTGCGTCCATCAGAAAACCTGCAACCAGGTGTGGGTTTTCTCCCTAAAAACCCTCCCTGGTCCCTGCAGCTGACTTGGCCATCCAGGGTAGGGCCCCCACTAGGAGAAGCTTGCTATCAATCCCAGTAAGAACTGGGGGCCTCTCCAGAGTGGGCAGGGGAGGTCAGTGGGGGGGCAGGCGAGCAAGCCTTGTCAAGAGAGTGCTGAGGTCACCTGCACGTAAGGGCCCAGGCAGACCCTCTGGGAGCACAGAGACCTGGAGGCCGGGCAGGATTCCTGGAAAGGGTGCAGAGAGCGAGGGGCGTTTGCAATGAGGGGCCAAGGGGACAGCTGCTATACGCCTCCAGGGCCGTGAAGGGCACTGAGCCGGGAGTCAGGATGTCAGGTTCAAGCCCCAGCTGTGCCACTAACCAGCTCTAACTTTGGGCCAGTTGTTTCACTTCGCTGGGCCTCAGTTTCCCCATCTGTCTGTGGGAAAATTGTATTAGATGATCGCCGTGGATCCTGAGGGTTCTCACCACGTATGACACTGGACATTTCCTCCGCAGAGAGAACATCCTCGTTCTCGATATATTTTTTGAGGCTCTCAATTATGAGACCATTGAACAGAAGAAGGCGTACGAAGTTGCTGCCTTACTTGGTAAGTCAGAGTGTCTGTTGCACAAACGTCCACGTCTCGTGGGGATGGGCCGGTGGGCGGGTTACTCCCCCTTCCCTTTGCACTGTTCCTGCCCCAGAATGGGAAGAACTCCACGTGCTGGAGGTGTTAGGCCCAGTTCAGGTCCCAGTCTAGGCCTCAGTTCCCCCATCAACACTATGAAGTAGGTGAGCTATAGCTAGACGCTCTCTCGGGGCCTTTCCAGCGCCATCCTCTTGGGACTCTATGGTCTTCTGCCCCCAGGTTGGAGTCAGAGCCCTGGGGCCATGGCAGGAAGAAAGAGCTGTCAAGTGGAGGGAGGGCTGAGCTGTGGGTGGTCCCAGGCAGTGGGCCCAGGGAGGGTCCCCCATGGAGCCCCCACTGGAAAGCAATTTTGCTGCATTGAGAAGGCCCGGTGCCCCCTGGACTGAGAGCCCTTTGTCAAACACAACAGAAGGGCCATGCATCCCCAGAAATCTACGAACCTGACTGCCACCCCACCCTAGGGCCAGCTCCCCTGGCCCCAAGGGCACATGATGGATGCAGGAAGTTAATTTCAACACAGTCCCAGCCCAGCGTAAAACTCACAAGACCGTTGCGGGTGCACAGTTAAAAAGACCTGCTCTGGGGCTTCCCTGGTGGCGCAGTGGTTGAGAGTCCACCTGCCGATGCAGGGGACACGGGTTCGTGCCCCGGTCCGGGAAGATCCCACATGTTGCAGAGCGGCTGGGCCCGTGAGCCATGGCCACTGAGCCTGCGCGTCCGGAGCCTGTGCTCTGCAACGGGAGAGGCCAAAACAGTGAGAGGCCCATGTACTGCCAAAAAAAAAAAAAAAACCTCCTCTGGACTCGTCCCCCAACTCCCACTCACTCTCAAGAAAGGATCTGGTGTCTGTGGCTTCGAGGAAAAATAGCTCTTGTCTCTGTGAACTGAATCAGGTGAGAATAGCATCCTGGGTGAGGGCGGGGAGGCATACACCTTCTACCTGGAAGTACAAGGGGAGAGCAAGCCACAGGCCGCTGCACACCAACTAGGAGAACGTGGGCAGGTGGCTTCACTGAACCTCAGGTTTCTCATCTGTAAAATGGGTCTAATAAAACTCATTTTTGTGAGTTTAACGTGATGGTTAAATGTGGAAAAGCCCCAGCCCACAGGAGGCCCATAAATAGAGGTTTCTGGCACGTGGACAGACACCATGCCAGGGACCCAGGGCCTACCCTGCGGCACCGTTTGAGCGTGTCTGTTCCTCTCCCAGGAGGCTGGGGGAACTGGGCCACAGTGGGGTGCCCGCTGGGCTGAGGTGGTCATCACCTGGGCCTTGGAGATTGTTGTGGCCAAAGGGCCTGTGGCCAAAGGGCCTCATGCCCTGAGCTGGTGGTAGAGCCCTGCTCCTGCCACCTTTATTTCCTAAAGAAGACCGAGGACATGCCTCCTCCCCTTCCGTCCCCTCCCCTACATAGGCTCACAGTCACACTCAGACACACACACACACACACACACACACACACACACACACACGCAGTGACGAGGGCCTGAGCCCCGAATCTGTCAGGAGAGGTAGCTGGTCCCTGCAGCAGATATGAGAGAGCATTTTCACAGCATCTTGTTCCCACCCAGAATAGCCCGCTGTGAAAGTCATGCTGCCATCTGTACCTCCCGTGAGGACAGCAAGTGCTACTTGCAAACCGTGGGCCACGGCACCCAATCGGGCCCGTCCCTCCCCTCCCCACGCCGCGCACAGCGCACCCCTCCCGTGGTGAACACACCCTCACAGACCCACATGCAAGCCACGCGGCTGCAGAGACACGTACGTGCACACAAGTTGCATGCTTACACACTCACGTGCTCACACCTGCACATGCTCACACATGCTCACTCAGACACACCGTGCCCACTCCCACAAAGCCACATTTGGACACATTCATGTCGCTACCCTAGACGTGGCTTGCCGCCTATGTAAAGCTGTCGGTGGTCAGACGTATCGCCTGCGTCTATCCCACACGCATTCGCGCACGGCGCACCCAGGCTCATACCCCACGCTCCGCCACACCGCTCACACACGCACAGACACACCCCACTCCTGATGTGCACGTGCATCGTGCACACTCCCCGATAAGCCTCCATTGAGGATATTAGAGGGGGCGGAGGGGCAGGAGAGGAGTGAAGGGGAGCCACGTTGAGCCCCAAACCAGGTCCCCCCAGGAAGGGCCGCCACCACGTCGTCACGGCTTGCTCGCCTGGGGGTGTGTTGGTTGGGCTTCTCCAGCCATAATCAGGGGAGGAGTGGGCAGAGGTACTCATCCGAAAGTTCTCAGACCAAGAGGTCAGCCTGGACTCTCCAGGAGGACGGTACATTCACCCCCAACAGCACCCGCTCTCCCCAGCCCAGCCCAGCAGCTGCCAGTCTTAGACGTCACAGCTGGAAAGGACTTCACAGTTCATCTCCTCTGACCACCACCCCCACCCCGACCACCTCCACCACCAAATGTGCCCGGAAGGCAAAGCTCCTGAGAAGGTCAGGGCTTATCAAAGCCGCACAGCGAGCTGGTGGCCCCCCCCTCCAAACTCACAACCTCAGAGCCCCCTGCTCTACCACACTGCCTCCAGAACGAAGCGCTTGGGGCTTTGGGGGGGGATCAGAACCCCCTTATTATCAGAGAATCTGATAATAACTTCTGAAATACGGGCTCTCCCTCTGCAAATGCCCAGGTGCACACACAATGGATCACATTCAATTCAGGGGCTCTCCAACCACTGGAAGTTCCCACAGGAGAGCCGTTCTCAAACTTTGGTGGGCCAGAGAACCACCCGGGCACTTTAAAATCCTGACCTCCAGACCCCAACCCCAGAGATTCTGATTGTGTAGGCCTCAGGTAGGTGCAGGCATCTACACTGATTACAAGTATCCCAAGAGTCTGATACAGGGGTATCCGAAGACCAGTCTAGAAAGACTTTGGTCGGTGGGGCCCAACATCCAGGGCAAGGACCTCTCCTCTAGAAAGAGACCAAACTGAACATTTACCTTTAGGTGGGGAGACAGGGAGATGCTTCCTACGGCCTTATGCCAAGGGTGAGAGGGGCCCCAAGGTGGCCCCAAAGCCCATGTCATGATTGGGGGGTGTCTCTTGTGTTACTGCTCCCGAGACCCCCACTCAGGGCACCTGACACACGTCTCCAGCTAGACTGTGTCCTCGCCCAGGCCAGGGACCACACGTACCTCGTCTGTTCCCAGCCCAGAGCCAAACCTGAGCCCCACCAGTGTGGTTCTGAATGGAAATGAACAAGCCTGTCAGCCCACGAGGTCTGTTCCAGGCCCCCCCAAAAGCATCCAGGTTAGTTCCCGTCCCCATGGGTGCTGATAACCAAACCCACCAGCTCTCAGAGCTGTGCAGTGAGGGAGGGACGCGTCAAGGGCCTGGCCTCCCAGCTACCAGGCCCAGGCCCCCCGGGAAGGGGAACCCATTCAGAAGGCCTGGTTTCCGAGTTCTCAGTCTGTTCGGCCCTTCCGGAAGCGCTGTCAGGAAAGCCAAGTCTTTGTCTTCTCTCTCTCTCTCCAGGTGATATTGGTGGTCAGATGGGATTGTTTATTGGTGCTAGTATCCTTACAATACTAGAGCTCTTTGATTATATTTATGAGGTAAGATTTGGTATCGCTCGTGGGGGATGACCTGGCGCCCTCATCCTGCCCCGACGTCCAGAACCAAAGCGTGGATGGGGGGAGAGCACGGCTTCTCTTCCCCCAGGGCCGCCTCCCCCTCCCTGTCCATGGATATTGTCTATCACCACCTCCTAGGCACTGGGGGGAGGGAGGGATGTAAGAGAGACAGAAGTCACAGGCCTATCCTCAAGACTGTCTACACTCACAGGGAGGGAGCAGAAGGGATGAAAAGAGGGTGAAACTGTGCTGAGGCCAGCCCTGAGCCCCTCCCACTGCTGGGGGGCTTCAGACACGGGTGTGTCTGCACCCTCACACTCACACCGCATACCACACTCACACACGTGCCACACACACGCATCACGCAGTTACACCACACTCACATACGACGTATGCACATACACATATATCACACACACTTATACCACACTCACATACTACTCACAAATACACATGTACACCACACCCACACCACATGCACACACACCACTCACACGCATCACACACACTTATACCACACTTACACGCAACATCTGCACACACATACACCACACACTCCACACACATATATCACACACAGTTATACCGTGCTCACACACACTGCTCACAAATATATACACCACATGCACACCTCATGCACACACACACCCCCCTGCCCTCCTGGTGGCCCATCACCCGAGCAATGCCTTCCGTGGTCCAGGCAGGTTTCAGGAAGGATCACTTCTGCAGTGCTCATCAGTCCTGAGCAGGGAGAGCAAGGGCACCCCTGCGCTCCTGGCCACCGACAGTCCGGGAGCTGTCACCCTCAGGAGGCAGCTGGACAAAGCCTCTGAAAGCTTCTCACACGACAAACAGTGGCTTCAGTCACTGAGTGCTCCGGGTGCACGTCAGCCTTCCTACTGCCTCCCTCCCCCCAGCCCCGGGATGGCTCCAGGGACTCCAGAATCCCTCAGGGAAGTCCAGGCCCAACACCATCCCCAGGACCGCCTGAGTCTCAGTCTAGCAAACGGGGCCTGCAGAGCAGTGGCCTGCATCCCAGAGGGGGCTGGCGATGGCCGAAGGCCGCTGGGAGTCCCTGCGGGGAGCCGGCGGGCAGTGGTGACCAGGGGCCTCTAGAGTGCCACATCCTGCCTCTCAGCATGATGACCTTGTTCCCAAACCAGGTCCGATGGCCAGATTTCATTCTGCCTTGTTTACTCATTTTTGTGAAAAGATATACAAAAACACAGAAATTGAATCGCACCAGGGAACATATTTAGTAATTACCCTTTCTTGCTAAGAATCAAATGTTAAGAACTCAAGTGTATCCCGATCTTGTGAACTGTGGAGTCGTCAGGCCTCGAAAGTGATGAGTAATTCTGTCCCCCCAGGACAGACAAGGAACCAGCCATACTGGAAAACCATGCCCCCGCCCCCCGCCGCCGTGACCCCCTGCAAGCTCTAGCACCTGCTCCAAAATCCCATCTCAGCCCAAAGATTGGGGAGGGGCCCCAGCCCAGCCACGTGGAGGGAGGTCTCTCTCTCTCTCTCCACCTTGGCGCCGTTCTTCTGGCCTGACCACCCCCTTCCTGCCTTTCTTACAGCTGATCAAAGAGAAGCTATTAGACCTGCTTGGCAAAGAAGATGAGGAAAGGAGCCACGATGAGAATGTGGTGAGGGCAGCCCGGGGTTTGCAGGTTGCTTAGTTCCTCCGGCACATACAGGCCGTGTTAACCCAGATGCAGGGGCCGGGTGGGGCCGGAGGGCGGGCCGTGCTTCATTGCACACCTTTCCGTGGCTCGTGACACTCTGCAGCTCCCAAACCCAAGGACACTCCAACTGAGCCTTGAGCCTCTCTCTGAGACTCACCCCAGAGCCCAGTAGTAAGCGAAGACCAGGAGATGCTTCTGCCTGGACCAATCCAGCTTCTCCCAGGCCAGAGGCCACGCCCCTCTTCTCATGCCTTGGGAGAACCGGAGAGGCTCTGCGTAGGTCCACTCCCTTATTCTGCGGGGTGGCAGAATACAAGCAGGGATGTCCCTGGTACTCTGACCCATTTTGAAGGGGACATAGGGTGTGCGGCCCTGTGAATTTGGTAGTGGCAGTAATACCCATTAGAACTGCTAACCATTGTACATGCCTGGTACATGTCAGGCACTGTGCTAAGTGCCTTAAGAGCGCCACGTCATTTCAACCCGACAGTCACCCTAGAGGAAGGTCTGTATTTATCTCCATTCTGCGCATGAGGCCGTTGCTGCTCAGACCAAGGTTACACTGCAGGTGAGTGTCAGAGCTGGGCACGAAGCCTCCCTAACCACCACTGTCCTACTCTGCCTCTCATTCCTCGAGCCAGAGACGGGCAGCACCCCGGCCCCAAGAGACCACCCCATTCAATGGCCACTTGCCCCCTTAAAATCATAACTTGCCAAATGGACCCCAGCCCCCTCCTCCTGTTCGGGCTCCCACTTCTGTTCCAGACACTATTTCTCTACCCATCTCCCAGGCTAAAAATCTCACTTTGATTCTCTCGGGTTTGAACAGAAGACAGCTTCTGTCGAGGAGAGAGCAGTGTGGAAGGAGGCCAGGCTCTGGACTCAGCTACCTGCCTGGGTCCCAGGTCCCCGCTTCCCAGCCGTGTGTGCCTGGGGGCTCGTTACTTCCCTTTCTGATCATCTGCTAAATCACTGGGGCTTCAGGGGGTGCCATTCAGACTAAGTGAGGCCGGGCCTGTGAAGCCATGAGCTTTGCCTAGTTTATAATGAGTGCCGAGCAAGTACAGCCTCCCTCCCCTCCCAGAGCCGCATTCTTGGCACAGAATTCTGCTCCCATCCCTCCCAGCCTCCAGCCCTCTGCAGCCTGGGAATCACCTGGAAAACTCAAAGCTGTCTCAGCCCCACCCTGCTCAGGGACCCAAGACAACTCTTCCCTGGGGACAGCCTAACCTAAAGGTCCTTCAGGCAGCTGTGATCAGGGGTCAGGCCTCCACTGCTTGGCCTCAGCGACTGGCACCCCCTGCCTCAGGCTTGGCCACAGGCCACCCCTCCTCCAGCCCAGGCTGACCCAACAGAGGCCCCAAGGGCAAGGGTAGGATGGGCCATCCAAGCTCCAAAGCTACACACCACTCAGATGTAGCTTCAGGTGACACATCAGGGGACCGCTAGAGAGAAGGTCAAACCAGTTGCTAAGCCCCATCCCCGCTCTGCGGGTGCGGGGTGGGGGGGGTGTGCCTAGGTGGAGAATGGAGAGGATTCTAAAGGCAACGAGGCCCCTTCAGCCTCATGCTCCAAGATGGCAAGCCAGCGCGTGAGATGTCTGGGGCGGAGCAGCTGTGCCCCGGGAGAGCCCACAGTGGGCAGCGTGGTTCCCAGGGCCTGGGCTGGGCTGCCCGGGGGCATCGTGATGAACTTTTGCTGAATGAGCATCAACGCCCACTTTCCGCTTCCCACCAGAGCACTTGCGACCCGATGCCAAACCACTCTGAAAACATCAGCCACAGTGTGAACGTGCCCCTGCAGACAGCCCTGGGGACCTTGGAGGAAATTGCCTGCTGACAGCCCTCTGACTGCCCGGCACCCCCCAGACAGACCTTGAGGCCCAGGACCAGAACAGGGGACGGCAGGCTCAGGTGGGATGACCCCTGCCGACCGACAGAAAGAAGCAAGAGCCCCCTATGCACACATAGCAAACTCTCTGTCAAAACCTCGCTCCAGCCTTGTCTGGCACGACGCATCCTCAGGCCCTGCTGCCGCGCATCCGTCCCTCTTAGGAGAAGTGAGTCACGCTCTGGAACTGTCCGAGAACCGACCTGCCATCACATCTCACTGCCAGATGTAAAAAGCAACTGCATGCTCTGAGTCCTCACGGCACTGCCTCCACGTCTGTCTCCGTACTTGACCCTCCTCCGTGCGGTTTCCAGCAGTCCCTCTGCAGCTGTGCAGGGGGACCAGGTGCCAGCCCCAAAGTCACCACGAGGCCACGCTGGAATCACACCTGCACGATCAAGAGGGAAACCGCAGAACTCGACAATGTCCGGTCCTTGTGTAGTTTGTGAAGGTTCTTAACCTGCCCACAAAGCCCTCCCCCACCTCCCCAAGCCGGCCCACAGGGTGATCAGGGCCACCCCCTCCCCTCCACAGCGGCCCGGGGACTCATCCGCGGTGCCCACGTCATTCTGCTCTCCCTGTGACACGGCTTGTACAGTCTGATTCTGTTTCTTTGGGGGGCTTTCTATTTCGTTTGTCTGTCTGTCGGAGATCTGTTTCATTTCGTTTTCTGAATTTGGGTTTTGATGTTCTGAGGTTTGGTTTGGTTTTTCCATTTTCTCTGGCATTTATTTATTTGTGCTTCCAATCACAGTCATATTAAAAGCTGGTCTTGTGGAAACGGCTGAGTCGTCTCTGCCCTTCCCCCGCACTCTTTCTCCCCAAGACTTTAGGAAAGAGCCAGATCTGCCAGGTCAAAAACCACAGGACGAATAGGTAGATAGATGGATAGATAGATAGATAAATGATAGATAGATGGATAGGTGATAGATAGATAGATAATTAGATGACATAGTTTATGCATTACTTACCTTTACAAAACACGTACGCTCTGGATTCTCTTCTATTCTATTCTATCCCACATCTTTAAACACTATTGATCACAACACTGTAAATGGCTTCCCCACCCCACAGACGGGTCACAGCCCAAGGTCTGAACGACACTGCGCTGGACCACAGGCACGTGGCATGCAGACAGGGAGGCAGAGCACGCTGCACAGACCCGCAAACTTTAGAGGAGGCCTTCACATCCCTCTGCTCTTCCGTCCTCTGTCCTGGCTTCTCCTGACCCGGCCAGTGAATTCAGGATGGACACCTGCCCCAGCATGGCCCCCTCCCACACTCCTGCCTTTCCCAACCCTCTCTGCAGCCCACCTCCACACCCCCATCAGACTGACCTACTTCTGCCTTGCTCCCCACGACTCCTGAGAGCACGTCCATGTGGGAGAGGAGGGGGAAGGTGCCCTCTGCTGGGGATGGGGCATGCCCTTTCAAGCCCCCCTTGTGGCAAGAGAGAGCTTCCTGTTCTGCAGAATCCTCATCCCCACAGCATCTTGCTAATTCCGCAGGACCAGTTCCTGTGGTCTAATCTTTTACTTCCCCCCACCACTCCCAACTCAAAGTCATCCCCAGAGCCACGAAAAAAGACCTAATATGGTTTGTACCTCCCTCCTCATGCACAAGTGCACAGAAAGCACTGGCTAAAACCGGCCGTCTTGGCCCCTCCTCCCCATCCTGCACAGAAAGCACTGGCTAGACCAGGCAGTCTGGTCCCTGCTTCGCTATCCAATCTCTCTCTCGCTCTCTCTCTCTCTCTCTCTCTCTCTCTCTCTCTCTCTCTCTCTCTCTCCTAACACAAGGAATTGATGGATGAGATCATGCACCTCTCTGGGCTCAGTTCCCTCCATCTGAGTGTGAAGATAATACCTTACCTGTGTCTTCACAGATGATCTCCAGAGGCCCCTTCAGACCCGAGGTGCTATGACAGTACTACTCCCCCTGCCAGTGGGACAAGTCACACCAGCCACACACACCAAGCCGGGGCCGGGAGCTTGCAGTCACCAGGCTCCAAGAGGCAGCTGGGACAGAGCATCCCTCTGATGTCTCCTCCCAAGCATCTTCTCAGCTAGGGTTGCCCAGGGCTGTTAGCAAAGCTGGGTTTTAATTTTGAGAAACAGGGTGCACAGCTTCTGGAAGTGTCCTTGTTTTCGTGTTCTATCTCTGCCATAACAAAATGACAAACTTAGTGGCTTAAAACAACACAGATGTATTATCTTACAGTTCAGGAGGCCAAGAATCAGACATGGGTCTCACTGGTTTAAAATCTAGGTGTCAGTAGGGCTGCCTTCCTTTCTGGAGTCTCTAGAGGAGAAACCATTTCCTCACCTCTTCCACCATCTACAGGCTACCCACGTTCCTTGGCTTGTGGCCTCTTCCTCTTTCAAAGACAGGAATGATGGGTTGAGTCCTTACATCACAAAGACAATGACCTTCTCCTGTAGTCACACCTCCCTCTAACTCAGATCCTCTCCTGCTTGCCTCTTCCATTTCTAAAGGGCTCGAGTAGATTCATTAGATTAGATTAGATTAGGCTAAATTAGATTAGGTGCAGCCAGTAATCCAGGATAACCCTCCTATTTCAAGGTTTTTAACTAATCACATCTTCAAAGTCTCTTTTGCCATGTAAAGCAACATATTCACAGGTTCCAGGCCTTGGGACGTGGACCTTTTTGGGGGCCGTTATTCTGCCTACCAAGAGCCCTTTGGACCACATAACCTACTTACCCTCATTTTCCAAATGAGCGGACCCAAAAAGGCAGGGAAGAGACTTGCCTAGCATCCCACGGTGAGTTAGCAGCGGTGCCCAAACTACACTCCCAAGCTCCCAGGCTCACAATTCCATCTGTAGGCCCACTTCAAGCAAGAAGGACTGAGTGTGATCATTTTTCCAAACTTTGCCAGGGCATGGAAGTCTTTCTCCTGAGAGAAGTTCACTCCTCATTACGTCGGGCTGGAAAGTGTCCTTCTGGTGCCTAGACTATAGGATGTAGAACAGAAAATGTCTTCAGACGGCTCCCGTCAGGGATAGAGTCCAAATTAAATGTCTATTCAGTGAGTTGGGAGTCTGTTGGATGCTTCTGCCTCATTCCAGTTTAACAGTTTCATACATTTTTTTAAATCTGTAACTTAACTTGCAATTTGAACTGCTCCATTGGATTCCTGGCTTCCTTTGAAACAGACAAACAAACAAACAAAAACTTCAGGTCAATGTGGGGTGGAGTGAAGACTGTCCTAACAGGTTTGGATGCTTCAGGCGTCTGTATGTACCCCTTCTGATTTGGGGATTCTGGCTTTGTTCATCTGGGAGCAGGTCTACAAACTGAACCTCTTTAAAGAAAAAAAGACAGGAAATTCGAGAGAATAAATCAATAGCCAGTTACTGATTATAATTAACCGGTTGTTGAGCAAAGACATAGTTGTAAAGCCTAAATTCTTGGGAATGGTGGTATTTTTTAGTATCATTATTTCAAACAAGTAGCCTTGTGTGCAATCATCCCTTTAATGGAGAAATGATTTCTTTACTGGAGAGGTTTGGCAGACAGAGAAGACCTGGGAATCGTCACATTTTCAAGAGTCACCCAAATGATGACATGATGGCCGGGAGTTTGGACCGATCACAAGCCCAGCAAAGCACAAGGATGAATCATCAGTGACCTCAAAGTGTCACGTCAACCAATCAGTTGATCGATCAACCAAATAATGGCACATGATCTCAGAATCCGTGGAGTCTGCTGCGGTTAGGCCAAAGGAATAAGCATTTCTGTGAGTAGCCTTGCCAGGGACTGAGCCAGCTGCTTAAATGCTGTTTTTTCTTGTTGTTTTGGGCGGAGAGAGGTCAGGGTTATTTTCCTCTCTCCAGCTGGGAGCTATTTTCATAACAGTCTCAACCAGGAGCATAGCTAGTGACCATGGGTCCACAGAGGGTCTCTGGCTAGGTTCGTGGTGAGCTGGGAGGGAGGAAGGTAGGGCAGGCCCCGCCCATAGGTGTGATCTTCGTGGTCACGGTTCCTTCAGGTGAAGCTCAGCTCAGCCAGCCTGAGCCTGAGACGCAAGGAAGAACCTGGGACCTCGTCCTCCACGGCTCAGAGATTTTAATTCGATTCTGAGACCTAAACTCGGAGCAGAGGCAAGAGGCCTCCAGAAAGCGCCTCCAGAAAGCTCCCCCGTGGGCTTCCCTGGTGGCGCAGTGGTTGAGAGTCCGCCTGCCGATGCGGGGGACGCGGGTTCGTGCCCCGGTCCGGGAAGATCCCACATGCCGCGGAGCGGCTGGGCCCGTGAGCCATGGCCGCTGAGCCTGCGCGTCCGGAGCCTGTGCTCCGCAACGGGAGAGGCCACAGCGGTGAGAGGCCCGCGTACCGCAAAAACAACGAAAACAAAAACAGAAAGCTCCCCCGTTACAGATAAGCAAAGAATTTACTTCTCCGGGGGTGTGGGCTGCCAGACGTGGTCCACCCACAGGCAGGGCAGACCCCGCGCTGCATAGAACAAGCTTCTTGGCATAGCTGGGAGGGGAGCAGGGCGATGCGGGAAGGGGTAACACGTGAAGAACACGGGTTCTCCATTTATTGATGGTCTATTGTGCGCCGGGCACTTGCCCTCAAGGAATTTATCATCTGAGCAGGGGACACTGACAAGCAAACAGATGACCCTGAGAGATGGATCTGAATTTTGCAGCGGAAGGAGCGCGATGGAGCAGCATATGCAAAGCGGGGGGCTGGGGCGGGACGGGGGAGTGCTGGAGGAGAGACCCAGTCCTGGGGCTGCACGAAAGTCCAGGGGAGCCAAGCAAAGAAAGGAAAGGGGAAAGTGTCCAAAATGACCACAGAGAGGCAGACAGGTGCCAAAGGATGATGGGCCAGGGCAGCAGGTTGAGGGCTGTATCATGGCTGAAGTCTTTCAGCTCCTTCCTCTGCTCTCCAAGGACCGTATTTCCCAAGCCAAGGGTTGAT